TCAGAGCCAATCCAGAATTCGTGGCCGCACATCACAAGCTGCCCAAGGAAATGTCGAAAGTCCTAGCAGCCAAAACGTGGGACACCATTTCTGAACAACAATTGGTCGTTTCTGCAGCAGCATGGTCCTTCCTGCGCTACTATTCGCAGAACAACTTGAGCACGCAGGACGTGAAATTGAAGGCCTGGGGTGAATCAGCAAATTAGCGGTTTGTGATTGAATTGCTCTGTTTTAGCCACCGCAGAATCGAATCAACCAAGCCAAGCCTTCAAGTGCCATGCTGACTACCACAATTGATTCATGTTCCTGAGGACGGCTTGTGGGCTGTGTTTGCCCAGTTTGGGCAAATCATTACTTTGCGCAATGTGGAAGAGACCTACATTGTTCTGGGATCCTTCAAATGGGCAGTGTTGGCATGGCGGGTGTGGCCGAAGTTGATGAGGGCGGCAGGTGCTCGGGCTGGCAGTTGCAAGTGGAGGCCGGTTGCTCATGGCAGTTCCTTCACAACCCTGAGGAATGGGAAGCCTGTGAAGCCACTCCGAAATTGTCAACACATGCAGGACTCTATTTCCGAGCTGCGGGTGGTTGGGAACCACTTGTGCAAAACACTTTGCGCTCCGGACACAAAAGGACATTTGCGGAGTTGACATTGATGGCGGAGTACTTGAATGTGAGGGAACCCCACAAGAATTCCAAGAAGGAGTTGTTGAAACAGTGTCAAGCGTGTTTCGGAGAAGAGTTTGCAGAAGACTGCCGTGAAGCTGCAGAGTCAGAGAATCAGAAGGCTCCTGATTCAGATATGCCTGATGGTTTTCTATCAGCATTGTTGGAAAACATGGACCCCTCAGAAAAACAGGATTTCCAGGACCTGGAGAAAGCTCTGATGCGACATGAACACGTTGGCAAAACATGTGGGATGAGAAGGTTGCTGAACAAAAGGCAACTTGGCAAGACCTTCCAGTGAGTTTCCGAGCTAGGCTTAGACTCAATTGTTGTGACTCAATTGTGATTTGATTGCAGGCCAAAAAGGCGAGGAGAGCTATGGCAAAAGCCAAAGCAAAGTCAGAACCGTGTGCCAAAGCAAAATGCAAAGGCAAGGGCAAAGGAAAAGGCAAAGGCCGTGGAAAAGGCAAAGGGTTTGGAAGAGGCACAGCTTTGGCCTTGCAAGGGCTGGCTCGCAGGCAAGCAGTGTCACGAAAACGCAAGGACCAGGTGCTCGAAGAAATGCCCGGACCAGCAGTGGAAGAAGATCCAGATATCGCTGAACTCAAAGAGGAGTTGGCAAGCCAGCTGTTGGACATGAACGTGGACGATCGACAAGTCCTGATTCATTGGCACTGCCGGCTGAGCCTTGTGTCCATGCTCCCAGTCCAAGAGAGCCCGCCCCCTCACCGGAGCCTTGTGCCGATCCTCCCAGTCCACACACTGGTGAAGGAGAGCCCGCGCCCCCGGCGGAGGAGCCCTGTGTCGATGCTTCCCGTCCACAGTCTGTGCTTGGTGGTGGCGGGGTCGCACACGAGGAAACAAAAGTGCAAGCACAGCCATCCAATGGGACCTTGCCGGATCCAATATCCGGGCCAAGGGACAGTGGAATGGCACAGGCCTCGTCCTCGAGCGTTTCAGCCCCTGCACAGGTCCTTGATGATGCTGCACATCGTGGCCAGGCATCGCAACGTGCTGCGCGCGAGCATGGTCCACACTTGAACAACACTCCCGACTTCCTGTCGGAGTTGGATCCACCAGAAGACTTCAGGTTGCGTCTCAGCTTCAACGATCATCGCTTCAAAGCCGAGATCATGACAAAAGAGTATGTGTCAAGTGAGGGGAAAAATCTTTCAGCAAAGCTTTTGGTCACGACAGATCAGAGTGGAAGCAAGCACTGGCTCAAGTGCATCGCTGGGCATGGACAGAGTGGGAGAAGGCCAAACCCGAAAGGCAACTGCCGCCTCATTGTCAGCCTGGTGCTATCCCTGAGGCTGTCCTGGAACGCCTTGCCCCGATTATCGACGCAATGCCTCGACCTACAAAGTATGCCAAGTAGCTTCTTCAGTTTTTTAGGTGATAAACACATCACAGGGGAAACATGTCAGCAGGTTGCAGATTGCTGTCAATGTCATGTATGTATCGTGTTCTTAGCTTCAAGTCTTCGCTCGATTCAAGACATCACAGGGAATGATTGCATCCGGCCGAGTCCAATGTGTGTGAAACTGCTCCTGCTGTCATAGCGGCAACATGTTCAATTCACAATTCTGGCTTCAACTTGCCTAGCGGGGGTTGCTGTTCATTCTGTGATTGAGTCTTGACAGTTGCAATCACAGTTGCTGAATGCCTGAAGTGTGCAATTGAAGATGACATGAAGTCTCACCATAGTTATGCTGCAGATTGCTCGGGGAGAAAGCGCTCAGCAACAAGAATCTTCCTGACATTGTTTCCAGTTAGTTTGTGGAATTTGCCCATTTGCTTGATATGCCAGGCAAGCATTGCATCAATCTGTTGCTCAAGTTGGACCAGAGGTATGGTTTAAAGTTATGTGAATCAAGTGTCTGAATCAGACTCTGCAAACCGCAGCTCCACTATGGCACAGTCTCTGGTTGAGTCTGTGTGGACAACAAATAATTTGTGAGTCAGTGAATCACCAAACATGTCCAATTTCCAGTGGCCGTGCCAGCATGTGCTGGGATCATCGCTGGTCTTCAGTGGTAGTGCTGGGCCTGTGCAGCCAGCACGCAAGAAATGCAAAAGGAAAAAGAATGCTGCAGAGTCATTTGAGTTGGGAGGCAGATCAGTGGAGCGACCGTGTACTCTTCCTGCCCTGAATTTTACAGATGCAGTTTCAGTCACAGGAACTGTTGAAGTTGATCGGTTTGACAGTTGGGTAGAGGATGTCTTCCAGCAAACGTCGCGATTGCAATCTTCACATTTCCTTCCGTTTGCTTCCTTGTCTTTCTCCCCAAGGCCGGAGTCTGTTCATTCAAACTTATGGGTCACAGATTTTGTTGTAATATTAATAATATGTATTTAATGTAATAAATACTTATCATCATCCCCAATTGATCTTGCTGGCCAGGTCCACAGAGCCTTGGTGTCACAGGCTGGTGGTTGCAAGGGTCTTGGTGCAAAATTTTTTGCGCTACGACCAGGACTTCAATGTGGGCAGAGTGGCCATGAAATGGCATGGGCTGATTGGATTGGCTTATCCCGCATTGAAGAACCGAACCATCGAGTGTCAGCTGATGTGCATCATTAGCCGTAGCTATGACACCAGAGCCAAAATTGAAGCAGGTTCAATCGATGTGGGACCTCATCAATGTGCGGGGTTGCTGCAATACATTGAATACTATTCAGGGAGCGCCAAACTTTCAAAGAAATTGATCGAATCCGGTCTCCGTGGGTGCAGCTTTGACATACTCTACAATGAGGAACACAACATGTTGCTGGCGAAAGGGTTGCGTTTGTTTCTGGATGCAGCCACAGCGTGTGAGAAGAAGGCTTTGCATTGGTGGGGCACCCCGTGCTCCTCTTTCGTCATTATGTGCTCATTTCGTGCCCAACGTGCTGAAAGCAACGGCTGGGAAGGCTCATGGACTGAGCGGGACTTTGTATTGCAGGGAAATTGTCAGGCCCTTGTTTGCTCACTTGGGATGTTCCTGGGATGGGCATGTGAGTGCTGCCCTGTGGTGGAACAGCCCAGCAGCTCCTGTATGCCGCACCTCGAGTGTGTCAAAACAGTTCCGTCCTTTTGTGGCTTCGAAAAGACTTGCACCTACATGGGTGCCTTTAACGGAAAGTCAGTGAAGCCCTTGCAACTGTGGCATTTGCCTGGCTTTGATTTTGAGAACCTGGCCAGGCCCAGACCAGATCATAATGCTTTCATTGGTCTGGTAAGCCGAGGCGAAGACGGCCGTTTCACCGGTATGTCAGCAGATGTACAGGCTAGTGGGGAATACACTTCGATGTTCGGGGAAGCAGTTGCGCAGATTGTCCGGAACCTGTTGTGACGACAACCGCTTCGTCAGCCCAAATACGTTAATAGCTTACTGAGCTGCATGATTTTCAAGCCAATCTGCTGTGACTGGTTTTTATGGGGTGTGAATGCTGTGACACAACAGCAACAGCAGGCCATGCAGCAACGCAGGTAAAACAGTGGGATGACTGATGAGAAGGTTGCATAACACTTGAGACACAATTCTGATTTGCTTGCAGCCTTATGTCGATGTGGCTGTCTCAGTGAGGAACATTCCCTGTTGTCAATTGTACTTCTGGCTGGAGAGGTAGTCAAGATTTCCTCAAATCGAATCGTCAACCTTGCCAAGCAATGCCATGCAGATTTCCTCAGCCTTGATGCAACCTGTTTAAGTTGACAGGTTGTTCAGAGCTGTGTGAGGAAACAATGATGATGCCATCCAGTGTGACCTTGCCCGATGTGCCCATGTCGGTGCAAGGGGTTAGTGGCATGGCACAACATACAATTGGGGAGCGTGTCAATTGTGCGTAGTCAAGATTTCCTCTTGCGAAAGCGAGTCACACCTTTGCAGCTTCTGCCGGCTCTTGCACAGACGTCCTCAGCCTTGCGAAAATAACCTGTTGGTGTTGCCGGGCTGTGGCCCGAAGAGCCATCAAGTTTCTTTGCTTGGGGACACAAAGGCCAGCGATCTAGTGTGACCTTGCCCGACGTGCCAATGTCGGTGCAAGGGGTCACTGGAATGGCACAGCTTCCGGTTGCTCTGTTCACACACCGGCTTGGACAGAAATAATACTACATTTTTTCATGGTTTTCCTCAACAATTTTCAGTGTCTGCAAATCTCCAGTTACATTATTTCTGGACAAACCTATCGTGTCGTAACGTATCCAATAAGTCTTTGTTCAGGTTGACTTCTGATTTTGATAACTTTGGTTTTTGCCAAGCCCACTGATCCAGCCCCCGCGGATCCAACCCTACAAACGAACGTACTGAATTAACAGGAGCGAACGATTGGTAGATCGCATCCGTGAGAACTACATGGCGGCACAGCAAGAGACGTACCACGCCCTCAAGGCGAGCGAGCTTGCATGGGCAAGAGCCAACACCTTGCGCAAAGCTGCTGCAGAGTCTGGCCTCTGCGCAGCTGTATGCGAAGGCTGCACCGGTTTGCCAGAGCAGCCTAGCGTGCTCCAGAACTTCAAAGAAGCAATGGTCATCATGCGGGACCGCGTTGCGAGACATGCCGTTGGCCACGCCAGATCTTTCCTCAACGACCGCGAGACGATGAACTACGTGGCCTACTTGAATCGCGACAACGGCTTTCTCAGCCAGATACGCAACGCGTACTACAAACTTCAGTCAGATGTATTACTTGGTTTGATAGGGAACTACGCGTTGTGGGAAACCTTCTGCCCCGAGTTATGGCAAGATCCTGGCGACATCGAGTACCACACGATCACGCAAGAAATCCTTAAGATTTCCGAGCCAGGCTATGCCGGCATGTTGCAGCTGAGCATGAAGGCACAGTGGCTCTTCTTGCAGCTCCGCGTGGAAGACAACAACAGGGTGAGCCTAGATCTGCTCGTGCAAGAGCAAATCGACCGGGCAAGATTCCTGTGCGTCAGCGCAGTGCGGAACATGGTCGTCGCCTTACATCACTTCCGGCAAGATCTCGAGGGCAGCGGCATTCTCAGCTCCGACGAAGGCCAGCGAAAGGCAAGAACCGTGCAAGCCTATATCATGCGAGAGATTCTTGCGATTGCTTTCTCGTGTGTCGGTGTCAGAGCCTGCTGCCACTTCGAAATGGTGTATCAACTCTTGCAAGAGTGTGTGCCAAAGGCGCCAGAATCAATCGTGCACATGTTGAGAAAAGAACACAAACTGATGCAATCAAATCTCCTAAAACAGCTCATAATGAGCAAGAGCGTTTGGTGTCGCACGATGTCTGATCTCGAGCGCAAGAGCATGCCCAAGTTCTGGCCAAACTCAGAGTCACAAAAGGGCACTGTCAGAGTCTGGAAGCTGTAAAGAAAACAGCCGTGCGACCCGGATTGGGAAGTCGGCGGTCAGACTGTTGCTGTTAGCAATCGATGTCACAGTTTTGCAGGAGCCAGTTGGACATGAGAATGTCGCCGCTATTTCTTGTCAAGAACACAGCCGTGCGACCCGGATTGGGAAGTCGGCAGCTAGACTGATGTCGTCAGCAATTGATGTCACGGTTTTGCACGAGCCAGTAACTCCTGCAGCTAGTTTAAGTCCGGAACACGTGATCTGTGTTTGTCGCACAAGCCTACGCTGATGTTCGTGATCCAACTTAGGTGAATTGCGGGCAGGAAATAGGACGACCCGCATGTTTGCTAGAAATGCCTGTCGGGTGCCACTATGACGGGTGGCGCGCGTCGCTTTGTCAAAGTGGGCAGCGAGTGCGGGGTCCTGTCCGAGATACAAAGGAAGAGGCAGAACAGGATATGGCGTGCTTGCAAGCGGCCGGTCGGGAAGGCGTGCCGGATCTTCGGGCGTGCGCGCTTGCTCTCATAGCAGAACAACAGGCTTGCGTCTCCAGCAGACGTAGAGAGGACGCGTCATACCAAACTCTGGTGGACGTTATTTCTCAGTGGCTGAAGCAAGGGCATTGTGCCAGTCTTCCTCGTGGCTCCAAACCTTTGGCGGCTCTAGCGAGTCGGGTGTGCCGGCTGGAGGAGGTTTATCCAGAGCTCTGCAACTGTGCGAAATCGTTGTTCTCCGAGCATCTGGCCATGGAAGCTGTGGCCGAGCAGGAGGACGCGAAATGGTTGCGCGATCTAGGCATTCATTTTCGTCTGGACTACGGCAGTCGTCCTCTGCACACATCCGGCTTGGATAGTAGCCGTGCATATGTCGGCCTGAGGAATCTTGGCAATTCTTGCTGTTTCAATTCTGTGCTGCAGTGCTTTTTCGGCTGCGGGCCTTTGCGCGAAGATGTTTCGAAGCAAGCGCCGCCGAAGGATCCTTTGGCCGTGCACGTGCAGCGTCTGTTTCGGCAGCTGTCGGGGAAGGATGGAGAGTGGGATTACGTCTCGCCTGCAGCCGTGCTGCACCAGCTGTACCTGACCAATGACGTCGCTTTTGAGCCTGGCGGGACTGCGGATGTTGTCGAGTGCTGTCATTTGCTGCTGAACTCCTGTGTGTCGGAGACTGCATTTCGGCAACCTGGCCACTGTCTAGGCGGGTCGGGTTCGTGCTGTTGGATTGTAGAGACAGAGTATTTTGAGACACGCTACCGTCGGGGTTTTCCGTCGTACGATAGAAAAAGGCATGCGGCCGTTGCGGCTTACTGTAACACTCTAAGAAAGATCGCAGGCGCGCCTGAGCATGAAGGAGGCATTTACCTCTTGCCTCGGATTCCTGCACGGTCCGGTGAAAGCGGGACGACTATCGCAGATCTTTTGCATGCGAACTTGAGTGTGGACTCTTGGCCGTCGACATCCGCAGTCGTCCTTCGCGTGGAGCAGGACTCGGTTGGCGCTCTGAGCTGGACTGAGGTGGACGCCGTTTGCAAGGGGCGAGCATCTTACAGAGTGCTGGGAAGAACCGTGGCTTTGTAAGTGTTTATATAGATTGCAAGCATGTTGTTAAATAGCTTGCAACCCGGTTGTATCTATATTGCAAATCACTTATAAGTGTGATAAACAAATACAATTGTTAAGAGACTTAGCTAAGTGTTTACATAAGTGGTGTAAGTATGTTAAAGATTTACAAAGGTTAAGGGGTTTAGCTAAAGTTTAGCTAAGTTAACATAACTTTTTGAAGTACAGTTCTTATATAGGGAAATGACTATGTTAGGCACGTAAATGACTTGTGTTTGAAGGGTGTTTCGTGTATACAGGGGGGGGGCAGGGCGGACAAGAAATGCATATATCCTGTTGCCATGCAGCCGTTTTTTTCAAGAGAACTTGGAAAAGATGAAGCCTGCCTGGGCTACGGCCGTGGAGCAGGCATTGAAGAAGGATGCTCCGGCATTGGAGAGATGGACGGAGATCGAAACTATCCTGCAGGAGAACAGGAAGTGCTACAGGCAGGTGCTGCGGCCGGGTCAAGTCCTGGTGCACCCGTCGAATCGCCCAGGGTTAGGATTGAATGGAGCCCAAGTTCACAAGACAGGGGCCCAAGTGCAATCTGTAGGCTTCAGCTCCATGGAGCTGAAGCGAAGTGTTTGCATGGAAATATCCACGGATAGAGCTGTGAGCCAAAAGGCCTTTAGTTTCAACAAGCGGCAAGTGGATATGAATGCAGGGCTGCTAGCTGAGGTGCGAGGCGATGAGCGATACATGTCGTTAGCATGCAGTCACTTTACGGCATTTTGCCGTGCCTGCATTGCAGCATGTCCCTCGGACCAAGAGACGGTGTCGGACAACGGCAAGCTCACGTTGCAGCGATTGTCTACGGACTTTCGGCAGGCCGTGGATAATGGATGGGAGTGACTGGTGCTGTCAGCGGAAGTTGATGCAGTACTGCCCTCGCTGGCCTCCTTCGTTCAGGAAGTCATGAATGCAGCCCAAGGAGTTGCAAGAACGGCAGGCGAGCTGGAGCTCGCCATGGCGATGGTGACCCGAGCAAAGTTGCTGGCAGAGCAAGGTTTGTGCATCGACTGGGATGTTGTGCAAGCTGATGTAGCAGGCACGGTGCCGGATGCCTCGCCGCAGACCGTGGCCGCTTGCGGGTTGTTCTGCAGATTCTATGCAGGAGGAACCGAAGCACCTCTGCTGAAGTTTTTGCACGACTTTTCCTTGAAATATGGGGCAAGCAAAAGATTGGGAGAGGAATTCATGTCCACGGTCGCCGGCCTCCGGTTTGCAGGGCAGGAGCGATCGCATGCTTTCGCGAGGGCTGCGATGATCGCGACGAACCTGACAGCCACAAAAGTGGTAGACGGTGTGGCTCGGCTGCTGAACAAGAGTGATGTCAGCAGGCTCTGTGCGAAAGGCATGGAAGATGCTGTAAAGGATTGGGAGGAGCTTCTTGCTCGTGCCTGGGCTCACACTCAGAATGTGACGGAGGCAAGTGCACGTGCCAAGGCAGTTGAGTGCTTCGGTCGCCTGATGGTTCGCAGCACCCTCTTCATGTGCAAGAAAGAGAAGTCGGGGCAAGAAGGCCTTGAGCACGGGTCCTTGGCCAATTTGCTGACTTTGTACGAACACGAGATGGGTGGCAAGAGTGCCGGTGCAACACCGGCTGCTGCTACAAAAGATGGGCCGTCTGATGCGGCCCCTGCGACCTTGGAGAACATGCAGGACCCGGCCTTCCTCATGAAGCTGCAAGGCTTCGCAGAGGGGAACCTGTACAAAGGCAAGCAGAAGTATCAGGACATCTGGCCCTGGAAGCTGGAGAAAATCGGCCAGAGCCACGGCTCTTTCTCGCTGTCTTGCCCAGTGAGCTGGGACAAGAAGGTCGAGGTGCCTCTGAGCGAGCTGAAGAAATTCTTCGAGCTGCATAGCGGAGATGCCCGAAGTGGTGTCTGACTCTGTGGACCGACTGCCCCATAATACGGAGGCTTGCAGCCAAGAGAGACTCCGAGGAGAGTTCTTCGAGCTCTGCTGCGAGTATTTCCTGAAGTACTCGCAGTGTGAAGAGGAGTTGACCTTTCTGAAGAATCCCACGTGCTGTGTGTTGGAGGGCAAAGCCAAGACAGGCAAGCTGACGATCTTCCCCTTCACGGATCAGATTTCAAAGATTGGCTTAAAGCCGGCAGCTGGCAGTGTGGAGGTTTGGCATTCGGCCACGGGCACAAGCCTGTATATTTCACCCCCGGCTGCAGCCGCAAGTTTGCTATCTGCCTTCTGGCAGATCCCGGTCGGCTCAGAGCCGAATCTGGCGACAGTCCTTCTGAACGAGAAGGGCTGGAAGATTCCCATTTTGAAGAACACTGCTCCGCTGAAGGAGTGCATCCTGTACAGGCCGAAGCCTGCCGAAAGTTTGAGGGCCTCCGCCCAAGAGCTGGATCAAGGATCCGCTGCCTCGCGAAAGCGAAAGGGTCCTTGAGTGACTCGACAGTTCTCGCTTGCTGAGTTTTCCGGGAAAAGGAGCCAAGGTTGATGTTTGCAATGGAACTTTTGGCGCTTTTTGCAAGTGTGAATTCCAGGATGGTTTGCAGGCACGTGTTGTTGATCTTTCCATAAAGTTCGGCTCAAGGCTATATATAGGTACAATGCCGCTGGTAATCGAAAGAAGATATGTCCTGAAGCTGGATGGTGCCAGCTGGACTCTGGGTGACAAGGAGGTAGAAGCTACGGACCATGGTCCGTTTGTGGTACTTCGTCCATGGAGCCCGGGCTTGTGCAAGCTGCTTTCTAAGCAGCATAGCATAAGACTGCCAAAATACCCGGCAAAGTCATCGTTGTCCCAGAGCGATGTTTATCTATCGCTCGTGGGCTCCCGAAACGATGCCTCCAAGGAGCAGCAGTCCAAGCGGCAGGCAGAGAAACTGAAAGAACAGAGCTCTGGCCTTTTCGGCGGGGAAGCCAGCGAGGCTGCTCTAGTGTCTGTAACAGGCAGCTCTCCGAGAAAAGCAGCGAAGAGTCGCTTGTCCCGCCGTGCTTCCAGGGAAGCAAGAGCAGAAAAGAACGTGCTCAAGGTTGCCTGGATGGAAAAGGAGATCCGTGTCCTGGAGGCGGGCCATGTCACGGATGTGCCCAAAGTCCACTTGGATGATATGGCACTGTTCTTTGAAGCAACAGAAAATGCCGTGCTTACTGCTGAGTCTTTTGAGACTAGAGCACGGCAAAGCTTTCCTAAGGGAACTGCTTCTCAGGACAAAGTCGTGAAAATCGGCCAAGGCCGCCAGGCTCAACGGACAGGCGACGACAGAAGGTATTCGCTTGTCAAAAAAGACGGGGCCAAGGCCCGGCCCTTGGATCGCCTGCCGCTGCAGGAGGCTGAGGCGACTGCGGCTGCCAAAAGGGCAGCAAAAAGCCAGCCCTCCAAACGGAGGAAGCATGGGGTGCTAGTTGACTGAAGGTTCGTTTGCTTCAGGAAAACCATGCAAAGCCTTCTTGTCTCATGTGCATGCAGTTGTTTGACTTGTAGCCTCGCATGTGCAGGTTGTGAAGTTTGTGCCGGTGTTTGCAGCTGTTTGGGCTCCTGTAGGGAGCCCTTGGATGCGGGCTGGCCTTTTTTACGAGGCCAGGCAAGGGATCCTTTTAAGTTTCTTTCAAACGAAACATATACAGATATAGATACATAGTGGCAGGCCGGGAGACTGCGGTTTCCTGGACAAAGCCGGGAGACTACGGTTTCCTTATAATTGTGCATGGTGGACCACTACGGTTTGCCTAGTCAGTGATGCATGCAGGGGTTGCTTTTCGGCAACCGTGCTGGCCGGCAGAATGCAGGCAGACCAAGGTTTGTTTGCATCTGCTGGCAAGCATGCAAAGCAAGCAGACCACGGTTTGCTTAGCTTTGGGAGAGAAGTATATGGAAAGCAAGCAGACCACGGTTTGCTTAGCTTTGGGAGAGAAGTATATGGAGACCACGGTTTCCTCGTGGGTGCATGCCACGGCATGCACCAAATAGTATATGTGTATATGTATATATGTATATACATGTGCTAAAAGGAATTGTTAGGGTTTGGCTTAAGGGATCTTCCCTAAACCCTAAACCCTCCCCGATCCTCTAAACCCTTTTTTTGTCCTGGCCAGGCGAAGTCGTCGGCCATGCCCAAGGATAGAAGCAGGAGGACCTCGAGCTCCTCGGAGAGAAATGATCGACGAGATCCCCGACGACGGTCGAGATCTCATGAAGAGTCCGAGGACCAAAAGAAAAAGGAGGAGAAAGATGGCAAGAAAAAGCCAGAGGAGAACGAGAAGAAGAAAGAGGAGGAAGAGAGGTTTGAGGAGGAAACTGAGGCCTCTGAGGAGGCAACTGAGTCCGAGGACAAAGAAAAGGATCCTCCGGAGGAGGAGCCGGAGCAGGCTACGGCCTCGAAGCCCAGAGTCCCTTCTCTGGATGAGCCGACTCGTGATTGGCCGATAAGTGAAGCCGGCAGGAAGAGGCTGGAGAACAAGCTTGCAGCGGCCAGGGTCGCGGCATCCCAGGCAGCTCTCCAGTCCTGGGCAGAAGAAGAGCAGGCCAGAAAGGAAAAGAAGGATAAAAAAAGGGAAAGAAGGAGAAAAAGCAAAAGGAGAAGGATGAAAAGAAAAACAAAAAAGAGAGAGCAGAGAAAAATGAGGAGGTGGATGATATGGTGAAGGGGGCGGATGAGAAGCCAGCAGATGACAAGAAGGACAAGAAGCCTTCGGACGGGCCCAAGGGCCCGTCCAAGAAGTGCGAGATTTGCTGGAGGTGGATACAGGAGCATGCCGTCGCCAGCACCGATTGTCGGTTTTTCACCGAACTTGGAAATACATAGCCCAAGGGCTTTCCAAGGAAAGTGCTGCCATCCGGGCAAAGCGCCGATTCGGAGCACTGGCAGCCCGGGAGGCAAGATGAGAGCGAAGAGGAATCCGAAGTCCCAAACTGGGAGCTGCGGCGGGATTCCGGCAACAAGGGCCAGGGCGGATATGGCGACAAGGGCCAGGGCTATGGCGACAAGGGCGGATATGCCGACAAGGGCCAGGGATATGGCGACAAGGGCCAGGGCTATGGCTATGGCGATGTGAGAGGCACCTCCGGCCCCTCGGGGGCCAAGGCCCATGCCGCAGCTGAGAAGGGCCGTCCTGAGCAGGCTAAGGGCTCGAAGAAGAGAAAGAAGCCGGGGGCAGGAGAGACAATCTCCCTGCTTGACCCCGATGATGACAAAGAGGATCGAAAGCCGGTGAAACTTTTGCCCAGGAAAATGCCAGCTAAGGCTGGCAAGACCGAGACCAAGAAGAAGGGCAGCAAGGCTAAGGCCAGGCGAAAGCGACAGGAGTCGCCGGTACGGGACGATGATCACGTCCCAATGCCGGACAAGAAGGACCCGGACGATCCGGAAGGGGGCCCTGGGAGCTCCTACGAGAAAGTGGTGACGAGCCTTTTCCAAATCGCCTGCCACGAGCTTCGGCAGCGGTACTAGCTCGGCACAGCCGCCTGCCGTCTTCCGAAAAAAACAGAGTGCCGGCTGCCGTCTGGTGGAAAAAAAGAGTGTCTCTGCGTTTTTTTCTCTTCTAGGGTTTAGGGTTTGGGGTTTTTCTTTAAAGAATAGTTTTCTGTTAACCCCAAGATAAGAACCTTATCCAAACACCTAAAATATGATATAGTTTTTTCTATATCATATATATATATATATATATATATTGGGAGGAATGCATATGATATGTTATATACTATATCATATGCATTCCAAATGGTCGATATGATATAGTTTATACTATATTACTATATCATATAAGTCTTGACTTCCAGATGTCATATGATATAGTTTTAACCATATCATATGCATTAAATTGGCCTCATATGATATAGTATATGCTATATCATATGATTCCTTTTGTTTTTATATGATATAGCATATACTATATCATATTTTGGTGGTTTCGTGGCCCTGCCGGCTTGTGTTTTTTGAACAGCGGAAAGACTGGCCCAAGCAGCCGTGCAGCATGCATACAGATGCCCAGAGTCGAGCACACACAAGGTTTGGTGCAGTTGTGTTGGCAGACAGGCACCCCTTCCTAGGGCCATTTGTTGTGTCACCCGTCCTCTTGCTTGGTTTGTTGTAGCCATGGAGACCCAGCATCCAAGGATGCGAGGAAGCCTCCACGGAGGCGTTTGGGAGCCTCCACGGAAGCGTGTGGAAGCCTCCACGGAGGCGTGTATGTGGCTGCTTGCTGCTGCAGGCACAGCCCTGGTGAGTATATAGGGCCATGGCCTCCAGCAGCACCGATGCTTTTGCTGAAAGACCAGCCAAGCTTCAGAAGGTGAATGCTCTGAGAAGGAAATTGCCCCATCTCACAGCCTCGGCTTTGTCCGAAGTTTGCAAAGTTCTCCGGGACGAGGGTGTCCCGGAACTCACACAAAGAAAACATATAGCCGAGGCTGCCTGGCAACCCCTGAAAGAGAATAGGATCCTCAATCGTCTGTCACTTTTGCAGACAGATGGTGCAGAGCTGCAGATACCCAGTGTCGATTTTTGGGCTCTGCTGCAAGCTGCTATCCCGGATGCCGACAGCAACTTCGCCCAATATTTTTGGGCGTGCATCGACAAGAATCCTCCGAGCCCCAGCTCGGCATGGCGGCTGATCCTCTATACGGACGAGATCGTGCCGGGTAATCCTTTGGCAGTCCAGACGAAGAGAAAAATCTGGGCTTGCTATGCCTCGTTCGTAGAACTTGGAAGCTATGCATTGCAGCACGAGGAGTCGTGGCTATGCATAGGATTGCTCCGATCCAGCCTGATGGCCGAGGCCGAAGCAGGTGTCTCTCAATGGATCTCGAAAATCCTGCGAGACATATTCATGCGGCCGGCCAACCGTTTGGAGCACGGGTGCATATCGTTGCAGCGACCAGGAGGTCCGCCCGTCCTCTTCCGGGTGGTTTTGTCAATGATCGTTCAAGACGGTGGTGCCCATAAAGCTCTATGGAGCTGCAAGGGGGATGCTGGCACCCGCATGTGCATGCTGTGCAGGAATGTAATAGCAGAACGATGTGATATCCTGCACAGCAGCGGGCTCCTCGTGGTCGGTTCCTCTGAGATCCGAGAAAGTAAGCTTTCGCTTGCGACCGACCAATCCATCCACGAGGCCATGGCTAAACTGGCAGAGAAGAAGATGCTTCTGAATGCTGGAGATTTCAGCACGTGGCAGCAAGCCACCGGCTGGACTTATAATAGTTGTTCCCTGCTGCAACAAGAGGATCAGCGATGGCTGGTCCGGCCGGTCTCACAGTATTGCCACGACAGCATGCACACCCTGCTGGTCTCCGGTGTCTTCCAGACAGTGACCTGGCTTGTTTTGGAAGCTTTGCAGAAGCAGTTCCAATCTCTGGGAAATCGCCGACGAGTACGTGGCCAAGTGGACCCTGCCCCGGAACATCTCGGCCAAGGCCGAAGGGATGCTGGGTCAGTCCCGAGCAAAAGCATGCAAGGAAGCCGAGACCTTTAAATGCACGGCCTCCGAAGGCTTGACACTGTCTCCAATATTGGCTTGTTTCTTCAGGCAGCTCGCCAGGGCAAATGCAAATGTTGAGGCAGTGCAAGCGATCCAATGTTTCTTGCAGCTGGACAAACTCGTGGCATGCTGCCAGAGAGCTCGCAGTGAGGGAGCGGTTTCGCCCGGCCAGATGAGAAAGCACGTTTCCGATTTCTTGCAAGCAGTGCATGCTGCTGAGTGGCAGGACCGCATGCATTCCAAGTTCCATTGGCTTCTCCACTTCGGTTCGCACCTGGAAAAGTGGGGCTTCATGGTTCAGTGCTACACTCACGAAAGAAAGCATCGCACTATCAAGAGATTCGCCGAGGACATCAAGAAGACTTCTGCTTACGAGCAGGGTCTTCTCCGAGAAGTTCTTGGACAAGAACTATATTGCTTGGCAAGAGCTGATTGTTTCGCAGCGATGCTGCAGTTGCAGGACCCGAAGCCAGCTTCTCGGAGGAAGGCGGCAGCACTTCGCAAAATCATTCCGGAGCTGACCTCGGCACAAGTGATTCATGTGGCAGAAAAAGTCAGGCTGCCCTCCGGGGAACGGATATGTCGTGGCGATGCGGTGCTGCTTGAAGGGAACGGTTGCTTGGAGTGTGCCCTTGTCTGGGCATTCGTGGAAATGGCAGGGCAAGCTTACAGTGTTGTGCATTCCATTTCTTCTCTGGTATGCGATGACCTCGTGGGGGAGTGCTCCTGCATAGACAGCCTGCATCTGCTGCCATGCAGAGACTTTCTGTGTGCATGCACATGGAGAGAAATGGCAGGAGGCCGACGACAAATCATCCTGCCTGCTTCCCTCCGCTGAAAAAGATTGAGCCTGTTTAGGGTTTATAGGGTTTAGGGTTTATAGGGTTTAGGGTTTATAGGGTTTAGGGTTTAGGGTTTCCCAGTAGGGTTTAGGGTTTTCCCAGTAGGGTTTAGGGTTCATGGATTTTGGGAATCTGCACGTGCACACACATGCAGGATGTGCATGCAGCTGCCATTTTGGCTCCTGTATCGTGGGGTTGTAGCATCTTGGCTCCTATAGAGGGGGCTTCTGGATTCTCCTTTTCTGGCCACGGCTATATATATCTCGCCACGGCGAGATGGCCCGAGAGTTGCACGCCGAGTTAGGCCCTATGGCCGAGTGGGCTCAAAGTGGGAGGTAGGCTTCGGTCGATGCTTTGATGAACAGCTGGTGCAGCCGGCTGGAGAGCCTTGGCTCTTTGTCGTTAGGGCAAGCCATGCAGATGAAGCAGACGATCCAGGATCTGAGCTTCGAGAGCACCCTGTCAGCGCTTTTGCTTGAAAAAGTTGAAGCCAAAGTTCTGGCAGCGGCCACGGCTGCAACACCGCCGCCAGAAACTACATATACGCCGAATAGGCGAAAGGAGGAAAGCAAGCCGCAGACCTTGCTGAAGCCGGAGAATTTCATCACGGTCACTGAGTGGTCGATGCTGGAAAAAGCGTCAGCACCGGCAAGGCTGGAAATCCTTCTGAGGAGGTATCTGCAGCTGGGCCTGAGGAACCTCACAGAACAGACGGTCAAGAAAGGCCTGGCCTTCCTCTTGGCACTGGCAGCCGCCGAGCTCAGTCAGATGCCGACATATGAAGAGATTTACGAAGAGGTCCAAGTCTTCAAGAGATCTTGGGAATCCGTGAAAACGGATGCAGGGCCGACTGAGGTCGGCCTGCTCACGTATCCCGACGACCCCAGCAGCTTGCCGAAGGCTCTGTTCGACCGAGCCTACAAGGCTGAGGACCCGCCCATGGGCAAAGACGTGAGGGCTGGGATCTGGCTAGCTCACGTTCCGATGCGATCTACTTCCAAGCTCTTGCAGAAGAACAAGAAGCAGAGGCTGCCGAGGCCAGATGGCCAGGCCGCCGTGTCTGAGCAGCAGGCGGGCGAGTTCCAGAGCCGCATGGAGCAGGCCTTCGGGCGACTGGAAAGACTGCTGGACCAGGGCTGCGGTCAGAATGCCATCCAGGATGGTGGGCGAAGGGAGCTGCAGTTTGCTGCAGGCGCCAATATCTTGCAAAGGAGGACTGCATGCTTGTTTTATCTTTTCCTTTGTTTTGCATCTGTATACACAGCCCATGCATGCTTTTCCATTTGTATACCTGCTGCAGGACCCCTGGACGGAACTCCATCACAGGAGGCGAGCTGAGCATCGGCTTTGCTCTGGGGAACCCAGCCCAGGCGGCTTCGGCTGCGACACAGCAGACCTCGCCAGGGCGACAGTCGGCCTTGCAGCTAGCCCTGCCTCCAGCCGAACAAGCCGATGAAGAGGAGTCGCCCCCTGCCGAGAACGATCTCGAGGACGAAGCTTTGTTCAAGAAGCTCAAAGATCGCAAAGCTGGGATTCTGAAGAAGCCGGCCGCTGCAGCTGCAGCGAGTGGCCAAGGAAACTTGGCCAAGAACAAGACAAAAACGAATGGCCAAGGCCAAGATCCAAAGAAGAAGGGCAGCGGCAAAGGCAAAGGAAAGTCCAAGGACAATAGTGCTTCGAAGAAAGGCCAAGGCAAAGCAAAGGAGCAGCAAGCCCAAGGCTCGCATGGAAAGCGAAAGTTCCAAATTGTCTGGGAGGACGGCTGCATCCAGAAGAACTATGCTTCTCGCATGTACAAGCGAGCCGGAACGTGGGCAAAGCAGCAAGGCTTCTCGGAGCAGCAAGTGGTAGAGTGCCAGCGAGAGGCCCACAGAGAGGCCATTCTGCTGTGGAAGAAGAAGAACGGCTGCTAAGCCAGCTGTGCAGGGCTCGAAAGCGATGCAATGCCAACCAACTTTTTGCTTCTAGGATGTGTGTATGCACACATGAGCAAAGCACCGAAAATCGGTTAGCACACTGCACAGATAGATCATTATATACATGCAGCAAAGTAGCTGCTGACACACGAGTGCATCGCAAGGAAACAGATGCATGCGAAGGGTTTTCACTGGGTCATCGGGCATGTATGGGGGTCGTCAAGCATGCTGTCTCATGTGCCTTATATCGTATGTGAAATCTGCTGCCGCCATGTGGCTCAAATGCTATATGTATATTATATATAGAGCTTTCCGTTCGCCTGTCTTCGGGCGATTGCTGTGATATCCGGCCAAGGCCAAAGGTGCTGCGAACTCTTAAAAAAAAGAGAAGGCCAAGGCCAAAGGCAGACCAAGCCGTGCAGCCTGCAATGGGGTCTGTATGCAGGCGGATGGGAAAAAGCCAAAGAGATGGAGCAGTTTGGCTCCCAGGATGGCAAGCAGGCACTGATGATGACAGCTGGGTAATATTGCCCAGCTGTTGCCCGGGGACCTGCGAGACTGAAGGATGCACGCAGCTGTGCAACAGGTACAGGGTGGGCCACAAGCACCATTGGTGCCAACAGTGCATCGTCCAGTATTCCGAATATTACTGGCGAAAGTTTTGCGACAGCTGAAAATGCAGCTGGCAATCCAGGGCCATGCAAAATCTTGAAAGGCTACGGCCTTAAAAAGTGCTGCAGAAATGGAGGGGCCCATGGGAGTTTATAATACGGCCTCAAGTGCTGCAGAAATACAGAATCTCAGGCTACGGCCTGCAGAAGGCTGCAGAATCTCAGGCTACGGCCTGCAGAAGGCTACGGCCTATGCAGAATCTCTGAGGCCAAACGAGGGGTGAGGTTAGACCGTGAACGACCGGCATGGAAAAAAAAGACTTGTGTTTTGCAGGGTTTGGGTTTCGGGCTTGAGGCTTTTATGTTCAGGGCTTGGAAGGTTTTAGACGTATAAGGGACCCCTTATGCTACTTAGACTAACCCCCTTTTCTAAGCTATGCTAACCCCTATAGCTAAACCAACTTAACCCTTTACATTTGTTTGTAAACAGATAGATAACCTCGTAAAGTATGTTAACCATTTACAAGCCACCGGTTCTTCCCAGTGTCGGGATTCATCTGGCATGGGGATGCGCGCTACGTCGCGTACCTGGTCTGTGGTAAACGATGGCACAGCTTGAACGATGCTGTAGTTTCGGAGGTTGACGTAGGCGATCTGCCTTCCGAAGCCTGCTTAGTTTTTTTGGAGAAGACGCTGCGCCGGAAAGAGAAGGCGGCGGGAGTCGGCCCTAGGCGACGAACAAGCCTCCGCACTCAATTTGGATGCGATTGCCAGGCGCTTTGGCGCAAGCAGTGGGGCAGCCACGGCTGCGTCTGGGGCCGTTTGCCAAGCACATGGCGAGTCAGCGTGCGATCCGGAGTGGAAAGCCGCGTGGCAGGAAGCAGCAGAGATCCAACCAAGAGCAGCAGAGGTCCAACCAAGAGCAGCAGAGGTCCAACCAAGAGCAGCGCAGACCGACCGCGAGCGGCCGAGGTCTGCCCGGCAGCAGCAGAGGTCTGGCCGGAAGCAGCAGAGGTCTGCCCAGAAGCAGGAGAGGTCTGACCGGAAGCAGCAGAGGTCTGCCCAGAAGCAGGAGAGGTTTGGCCGGAAGCAGCAGAGGTCTGGCCGGAAGCAGCAGCCCAGAAGCAGGAGAGGTCTGGCCGGAAGCAGCAGAGGTTTGCCCAGAAGCAGGAGAGGTTTGGCCGGAAGCAGCAGAGGTCTGGCCGGAAGCAGCAGAGGTCTGCCCAGAAGCAGGAGAGGTCTGGCCGGAAGCAGCAGAGGTCTGACCGGAAGCAGGAGAGGTCTGACGGGAATCGCGAAGCTAGGCAACGCCAGGAACGAGTGTTTTCGGCAAAAGCTTGGGCCAGCAATATGGACGGAGGACGGGGCGACACAGCAAACGAACCAGACAATCCGTTCAAGCGCTTTCAGCATGCGTCTCGGCTGCATGTGCAGGAGGACAAGGAGTCGTTGAGGGTGTGGCCAGAACGTCCGGTTCAAGTTGAAGAGCAGCCTTGTCTACTCTGTGATGGCGTCGGTTTCGGAACGCGGGAAGAACTTCTGAGCCACATCGACGACAAGCACGGAGGTCTGCAACGATATCGGAATGCTTATCTGCATTTGGAGTCGCTATGTCCGCACGTGGTTGTGGGCTCCGAAGTGCGACACTACGTGGGCAACTATGCAGAGTTTTTGCGGCGGTCCGCTATGGATTGGGAAGCATCGGCATTGTCGTACCCACGGGAGCGCATCGGATGCGCCTTCTGCGCGAGGTGTTTCTGGCGGGAATCTATGCAAGAGTGTTACTTGAAGGGGTCCAAATGTTTCATGGCAGCGGCCGACAGGGTTTGGGAGATGGTGTCTGTGAAACGTTATCATGAGAGATGGCCTCTCATTCCGATCAAGGACGGGTTTGGCAGTGCTTGAGACACGTGATGCAGGTGTGGTTCGAGGCACGATAAGGGGCGTAGTGGGAAGGGAGAAAGAGTTGTCAGTGGCCATCGAGTGTCGTCAGGAGCTAGAAGCCTCCAGTGTCGATGTGGGCACGTTCGGAGATCCAGTGCCAGTCTTGCTGCACAAACGGCGAGTTACGGCTGAGATGACGCGGGGGGATGTTCCTGCTGCAGTGTGCGAGGACTGCGTAGAGGCCTTTTCGGGCAAGAAGCCTTGGCTTTGCAAATACGCTTTGGCCAACGATCTGTGGTTGGGTCGTCCGGATCCGTTACTATGGAAAGCGAACATGACGCACGACATGTGTCTGGCGCTGGCGAGGACCGTGGCAACGAAAGTAGTGTTGCGTGCCGGGGGCGCTTCTCAGACCGAGAACAGCAACAGGCCCAGCCACTCTTGGGACTTCGTGTTTCAGCAATCCGGTTTGGTGGGATCCGCGGTTGTTTTCCACAACGGAGATGCCTAGTATGCCTTGGACAGCTTGCCGCCCAAGAAGCTGAACGACGCTTTGGCTGTGTCCTTTTGCGTTGACCTGCCAAGTCCACATGCGCAGGAGGAGAGCAGGGAGACGGTGAGCCGAATAGCGCGGTTGCGGCTTGACAGGAACGAGTTCCTCGCGCAAGCTGAAGCGCTGCAAAACACGAACCCGGTTTACCAAAGCGGCGTGACTGAAATCAATCGATCGCTCTTGGCCGAATGGTGCGGCGACCAGGATCGTGCTGTACATTATTCATTTCTTTGTTTCTCATGTTTCGTGACATTCTTATTTCTCATCTGTGTCGTGTCTGATTAAAGAAGCGCAGGATGCTGTTGTGCCTCCTCCGGTGCTGGATTGCGTGGTGGCTGTTCCTGTTGGCGAACACGGGCCCGGCGTCGTTCGGCAAAGCGGGCCTGCCGAGGCGACCGAAGTTGCTCAGCGAGCTCGTGATTCTTCGGAGTCCGAGACATGCGTCTTAGCCATGGAGCCGCAAGTTCAGGACTTTAATGCTCATGGCCGAGAAATCTCTATGCTGGTTGTGAGCATGTTGCAGAAGCTGGAAGAGCTGCAGGAGGCAGGCGCTCGGTCGGTTGCGTTGGAGATGGAAACCATGGTGGACGAGCAGCGTAATTTGGTGGACGAGCTGGGTTGCCAAACGATTTTGGATCTCTGTCGTCAGATTCATGACTCCTGCAGGCAACTCTCCGCTGCGGAGAAGCAAAATCGCCTGGAGCGAGAATTGCGAGATGCCGTCATGGGCAAGTCCAAGTGGCTGCATGTTCCGGAAGCAGATCTTGTGCGCACACAGGCAGAACAGGAGGATTGCCAAGTTGCGTCAGGAGCAGGCCCTGGGCAGCCCGGTGGAGCACAGGAGAACGGTCGGGCAGTGCCAGAAGCCGATCCCCAGCATAGAGATGCGAAAGAGGAGCACGGTCAGGCGGCACATTTGCTGGTGGCACGCGGAAAGCAGCCGTTGAGTTTGTGGGATTGGAAGATATGGACCATGGCCAAACCTAGACTATGGCGGTATGGCGACGCCGGAAATCTTTTCGAGAGGGACACCAACCTGTCCACATCCGAGTGGGCTGCATGCTTGCTCTTGCGCGAAGAGCTTGCGTATGTGGTGGACGGCGAGGCAAATGATGAGGCAGAGGAGGCACAGGATGGGCGACCCGTACTGGGAAGTCAATCCGTGCAAAATCGCTTCTCCGGTGATTGGACGGCATTACACATGATGGCGACGGTGTCTCGCTTGACCGATCAACGGGCCGCGTCCTACAATTTCCTGAAGAACGGGGGTATGGCGTTCGCGAAGAAGCTAGGGGAGCTGAGGGCCGAAGATCTCGCCAGGGCTGCCCGCGTTGCTCCAGATACTGGGGGCACGGATCAGTTCTTCAATCAAAAGCCGCAGTGCCGCAGTCGGTCAAGGATGCGTTGCAGGCCGTGAATGCGGCCTCCGCCACGGTGCTGGGCACGGACGGTCACCGTCGGCTGTGTCGTCACGAAGGCGTGGCTTACATGGAAGCGTTCGGGCCTCCATTGATTTTCCTGACTCCGAACGTGGCGGACACTCAGCATCCATTGCTTCTAGTTGTTCAAGGAGAAGCCGTCGATCTGGGCGCCGTGAGCGCAGACATGGAGACCGTGTTGCCAAAGTATCGGGACATGTTGCGCCGACTGGCACAGGATCCTGTGGGTCAGACGGTTCAGTTCGAACTCTTGATGCGTCTTTTCTTTCGGCACGTCTTGAATGTGCGGCCAGACACACTGGATTGCCGACGTAACGCGCCTCGTCGCGGAGCGAAGGCGTGGTGCAGCGACGGCGCGGCGGCGGCCTCGACTGGCGCCGGCATGTTGGGTCCCATTCTAGCTTTCCGTGGCGAGATCGAAGCTCAGGGTCGGGGATCTTTACATCCTCACATCCTGGTTTGGTTGGTTTGTCGCCACATGCAAGTCGTGAGCGATCTCGCGAGAATGCTGCGGGAGGAGAAACATGTGCTTCAGCGGCGCCTCCGGACTTTCATGTGCATGACGGTCGCGAGCTTCGAGTCCATAGCCCACGCATCGGTGCAAGCCGCACCGCGCATTTTCGGTGATTTGGATGCGGGTCGGGCCATGAGCATCAGCTCTGTGGCACGCAACCTGTGCAAGTACGATGGCGGATGCGATTTGGATTTGCTGAAGGAACTGCCGGATCTGTCTGAAGCTCAACGTCAGTTTCTTGCTAATTCTTCAGAAGAAGACTTGCGCCGGCCGGAGATGAGACTGGAGGAATCGACAGGCGGCGCTTCGTCGATTTTCAGCACTCCCATTAACTGTTTGTCTGTGGCGCAGACGCCTGGTTATCGCTTGCGCAGTGTGCTCGCCGCCGAAGCAGACTCGGCAGCCGACGCCGACGCGTGGCAGGCTGCCTTTTGCCAGGCGTCTAGGCATGTCATGGAGAGCGTGCTAGCTCTAGTCGTTGTTCACGGTTGTTCGTGTTCGCGTTTCTTTTTTGTCGGAGGAAACCAAAAGGAACAAAGAATGATAAGGCTTTGAGCTGGTCGTGGTTAGTTAGTTTCGGTTTGTGGCGTTCGAGGACTTGCACGACCTGGCTCCTTCAGTTCTGAAGCACATGTGCAGCGAGTCTTGCTATAAGTATTCGGATGCGTCCGCTACAAAGTGGAAGATCTGTCGGCGCGGCTATTATCACGTGGTCTCTCTGTGTGAAGGTTGCAGGGCACATCGCAAAGGCAAAGCTTTGCGTCCCGTCGTTCACATCGGCAGCGCTGCAGAGATGGACTTTGGCTCCGCTGGCAAGATGCGTCCCATTCAATTAACTCCTTTCGAAGTGCAGACCTCTTATGGCGGCACTGTTGCAGGCCGGCATAACTTGGATGTCCAGGACATGCGGCGCGTGCTCGATCCGGCCTTGTGGCAGACTCCGAGCGACCGTCTGCCTCAGATCGCTGGTCCAGTTTCGCAACTCGGTTACATGGACAAGTTTGAATGGAATGGCACCGTCTACGAGTCCCGCTCGTCGTGTTCTGGGGTGTCCGTGAGCTGGGCGTCTCGACGGCATCCAGAAAGCGGACCGTTCAGGGCAAGCTTGAGACAACTTCACCTGGTATCATAGAGTTGGACTAGAGATGGCGGATCCGGCAGCGACCCGTACTGGGAAGCTAGCCTAGATACTCAGATCGACCGCAGGAAATTGACGAAATGTCTGCTTTTGCGAGCGAAACTGTTCCTGTGATGTCGTCTGGTTGTGCACGGGTTCCGCTCTCCGCTCTCTTTAGCTCAGGTCAGCGATGGCGATGGCATGGAAAGTCCGCGGTCGCCACACCCACATCCACACACACACATCACACACACACACACACACACACACACACACACACACACACACACACACACACACACACACACACACACACACACACACACACACACACACACACACACACACACACACACACACACACACACACACACACACCACCACACACACACACACACACACACACACACACACACACACACACACACACACACACACACACACACACACACACACACACACACACACACACACACACACACACACACACACACACACACACACACACACGCGCGCGTGCACACATCATGCATCATCCAGCACTCACTCACTTCTTCCCTCACACACTCATTCATTCTCCTACTGGGATCTTTACATGTGGGGTTATCCGGTCCTTTAATTTTACACATCCGGCCCTGCCATCGATGGACTTCGATAGTTCTTTTCAGCGATGTCCATGCTTCTCGTCACCGTGACGTTCGCAACAGTTTTGATCCAAATTTGATTGTGGCCATCACTGACTTTCGTGGAGGCCAGATCTTCGTCGTACGAGACGACGGTGACACCGTTGTGCAAGATAACGGTGCTGCTGTACGTGGGTTTGTTCTCGACCCCCACGAACAACCCTGCTTGCTTTATGCTCGGAAGGACGAGCACTTCACTTTGCCTTGGGAAGGTCGGCGACTTGTCTTGGTCGCCTTTTGCATCGACCCTGTCGATCGTCTTGATGCTTCGCAAAAGAGCGAGCTGCTACGACTTGTGGTTTTCGCATGCAACCCTCCGCTCACCCCCCGGTCCACGAGATGACTCCTGCCGCCCTGGAAGGTGCCGGGTGCGCCCCTCCTGCTAACCTCGGAGAGTTGCCTTCAGCATCAAGCCACCCCGTGGCCCCTAGTCAGATTTGCCTTGAAATCTTCGCTTCACCGCCGTGTCTATCCCAAGCCTTCCGGCGCGTGGGTGTTCGCACCTTGGCCTTGCACCATGCACCCTCCAAAGATTGGAACGTTCTCAACATGAGGTGGGACGTTACGCAGCCAGCCGACGTCCAGGCATGTTTGCAGCAAGTGCGGGACGGGACTGTGGCTTTTCTCTTTGTCACGGTGCCTTCTGTCCGTCGGACCCGCACTCGGTTGCTGGAGGCGGTCAAAAGTTTCCTTGTCCTGACCCTGGCCACGCTGACCCAATGTCAAGTTTCCTTCTGCTTTTGTGTTCCGATCACTGCGCCTGTCTGGCGTTCCCTTGAGACGCAGGCTGTTGGTGTAACATACCATGTAACACAACTTGATTTGTGCATGTTCGGTTGTGATCGTCAAAGAAGGGTACGGTTGCTGCATAACGTCCCGGCCTTGCGTGGCCTCAGCCGACAATGTGATGGCCAGCAGCGACATCTCCCGTGGAGCCCTTCCGCTCCCGGTGCCTCGGATGCCCGCAACTTGCCCGAGACCTTTTGCCGCGATGTGGTGCAAGCCTGTGCTGCACTTCTGTCGGGGGCCGCCTTGCCTACCAAGCTGCGTCCTGCATCCGTTGCCTTGCAAGGGTTCACTCAGCTTAGCGCGGTTCCCCCGGTAGTGCCCGAATACAAAACCGTGATTCGGGCTAGTGTTCCTGCCGATTTCACCCCGCCTGAATGCATCCCGCCTCGAGGTTGTGCCATGCTACCACAATTTCCGGCTGGTGCGGTGCTTCTCAAAGCTGGCAGGCTCGAGTCTGTCACGGCACAGGAGATTAGAGGGAGACATCACGTGCCGGAGCCAGGAGGCGAAAAGGGGCATGTGCACAGTGCTCCCTGCTCCCCGGACCCGCTAGGGACTTCAGGAGTTGCCTATGGCGTGCCATGGTCCGTGAATGAGTTTCTCGAGCAAGCATTGAAAGCGGATCACCCTTGCAACACCTTGTCAGGTTGTGAAAATGCCGCTTTAGACAACATACGCTGGATTGCGCGGACATAGAGCGCGGAGGTATGTTCATTCAGGACCAATGCCTTAAAAGCGCTGCTTCAGTCTGAAATCGAACTCCGAAATGACGAAGCAACCCTGCATCAGACGTTGCATCCCGAGGTGCAGCGTGCCCTATCAGGGAAAAGGCTTTTGCTTTTTCGAAAGCTTGCGTGTGCAGCCGGGGTCGAGGACCCGACTTTGTTCCAGGAGATCTGCGATGGCTTCAGAATTCTTGGATACTCACATCCGAGCGGGCAGTTTCCAGTCTCCTTCAAATATGCTTCTATGTCTGAAAGCGAACTCAGGGGCGCATCAAAGTGGGTGCGAGCTATGCTCAAGGCCCCGGGTCCGGGAGAGGCCGCCGAAGTCTCACATGAGTTGTGGGATGAAGCTGTATCCCAGTCTCAGGATGGATCTGGCTGGCTGTATGGTCCTTATACAGAGAGCGAACTTGATGCAATGTTCCCGGACGGGTGGGTGCCATCCCGCCGGTTCGGCGTGAAGCAAAGGGATCGCACTCGAGCCATTGACGACCTTCGTGCGTCTCCGGTAAACTCACTCACTGCGGACAAAATCGTACTTCAGGATATTGATGTCGTGGCCCAGACTGCCCGAGCTTTCATGTCAGCTCTGATCAAGGACAAACCAAAACGTCCGCAGGCTCGCCGGCCGAGCCTTAGATTTGAAAAGTGCTTACAAACAGCTCGCTTCGGCACCTTGCGATGGCTGGGCATGCATCCTTGCAGTATGGGACCCCTCGAGCAAAAAGTATCGCTACTTTAGATTCGCGACGCTCCCCTTTGGAGCCGTGCACTCGGTCACTGCCTTCAATCGAGTGGCTCGAGCATTAAGGGCCATCCTACTGAAGATCGTGCGTCTGGTTGTGACCAGCTTTTACGATGATTACTGCCAGCTCGAGGTGGACGAACTGGCGGGCTCCGCTCAAGCCACCGCACAGATTGTTCTTCAGCTGGTAGGCTGGCGCATAGCAGAGGACCCCAAGAAGTGTTTGCCCTTCTCCCAAGTGTTTGCCATGCTTGGTGCGAGTTTCTCTTGGCACCGCTCACCGGAAGGCATCTTAGAAGTCGCAAACAAGGAGGGCAGGCTGCAGACTCTCCGCACACTGGTGGACTCCGTGTGTGCCGATGGCTTCGTGCACCCGGGTGTGTTGGCAAGCTTGAAAGGCAGGTTCTTGTATGCTTCGACGCACACCTTTGGCAGAGTTGCCATGATGGCAGTGAATTGCTTGAACCGCCATCTTTCAGGGGGAGGGGTGCTCAAGCTTGGTGCAGACGAGCATGTCCTCCTGCAGCACACCGTCGATCTCCTTGAATATATGCGGCCTAGGGAGGTCAAAGTGTCATCCCACGACCGTCCGGTCGTCATCTTCACGGACGGTGCACATGAAGAGGACGAAGATCTGACGTCGCACGGGGCTGTTCTGATTGACCCCTCCAGCAGAACGCTCCTTTTCTTTGGCGAGAGGGTGCCGCAGGCCTTTGTCGAGTCACGGCGGTCCTCCGGGCGCAAGCAGCTTGTGGGCCAAGCAGAGGTCCTGCCCGTGATCACGGCCAAAGTTGTGTGGGCTCATGTGATCAGAGGAAGGCGGGTTCTCTGGTTCATCGACAACGATTCAGCCAAAGCCGCCCTAGGCTCAGGCACCTCGTCAGCTCATAATGCAACGGCTCGCACTTGTTCTGTGCGCGCATCGGCTGCAACTGAGGTGATTGCGTATCCCGATGAGAATCTTTCGAAGTTGTAGCCCCTAGCTGAACTTCTTCCAACTTGTCAAGGCCTTCCTCGATAGCGTTCACTGTCTCATCAGGCCTGTCTATTTCGGTCTGGACCTTGGGTAACACAGCAGCTCGAAGTTGCTCCAAACTGTTATGTAGGCCCTCACCTTGTTCACGTTGCTGCATAGTCAACACAGCAAGCTCCCGATCGACCTTTTCAGCCAACGCTTGCACCGCTCGTGCCAGCGAAGCTTGATGTCCGGGTTCACCCTTCAAAGAGTGCATAAATCTCACGCTCTTGGGCATCCAATCTGCGCTTATGCTCTTGCATGCTCACTTGCAAGTGTGTTTCACAGACTCATCCAGCTCAGCAACTCTACCAGTTAGGGCTTCCACCTTCGCCAGCAAGCTCGCCTCTCTGCAATGATTCGTCTAGCTTGTTCTCGACCTGCTGCTCCTCTGTGCCTCGTTCTTCTAGGTAGCGCCTAAGGTCATGTTTGATCGCCTCGATTTGTGTGTGCGCGCATCATGACGATCACTCTCCCGGCCTTCCACCAGGGATTGCACTGCAGCTTGTGGTCTAACCACCGTGTCCCGAAGCTGATCCAGGGTTGTAGTTAGGGCGACAGCCTGCTTGCAACTCTCCAACTGATCCCCCAATAGCTCCCACTGCCCCCGCGAGGACTTCAGTACGGTACTGGACGCGAGAAGAAAGCTCTGTGACCGCAGCCTGGATGTCAGCTGCAAAACTCAAATCCTCACCAATACTCGTTCCAAAGGCTCGCAGACTCGCAGCGTTTCAGCAGGTATGCTAATGCGAATCATCTGTTGAAGCGTCACCTGCCCTCCAAGCTGCTGCTGTTCTGCCGCTGCTTGCAAGGTGACTGGCGCAGATGCTGTTGTTGTTGATGCAGTGTCATGCGTAGTTTCGACGGGGTTTGGGCTCATCACCTGTTGATGATGTCTTGGGGATGGGGTGCTGTTAGCCGTCACAATAGAGTAATGAGTAGGCGCAGGACTACCAGGAGTTCTAACATGAAACTGCGAAGGTAATCATATAGAGGATTGCACATAGTGTCGCAAAAATGCATAGGATAGCACTGCACTACCACGGTCAAGCAAACCACCTTTGAACTCAGCTACGCATTTTTGTGCGTGTCATCCTTGCTTGATCTTGAGCCCCGCGTTCGATGGCCCGCTTCTCGATTTGTGCGTGTCAGCACTTGTGCTTAAGCGACCTTGGTACACTTCTGGGATTTGTGCACCTGGGACGAACACTGAGCATTCTCAGGAATCCCTTACAATTGGGGTGGAATCACGAGATCATGATTTTGACGTCCGCCATCAGATGTTGAAGGTGAAGATTATCATTTCAAAGTTCGTCTCCAAGTATATGTGGAGGGGCATGTTACTTACACCCTGCTTTTTCGGCGGATTTAGAGGACTTATCATTGGTTTATGAGGTTATGAGTGAGTTATAAATAACTCGCCCCTCCAGGTGTTTCCGCTACATAATGGTTCATTGACGCCTTGAGGTAGCCAGTGCTCTTTGTCTAGTCAGTGCTCTTTGTCCATGCTTCATGTATAGCTGCGTAACTCTACTACATGCACAGTGCGTTTACAAGTATATCAGCATGAACGAGGGCAGAAGACTGCAAATTTACCAGCTATGAGCAATATGTATACGAACACAAAGTTGCTTCGGACCCGGACGCTACATCCGAGGCCCGATTCGACTATTACGCGCTTTGGTGGAAACACCTGCAGGCGGGGCAAGTCTAGGGACATATCCGTCGCCCATCAATTTTAAGAAATACTTCAGAACCATGCAGATGCAGCAGACCATTTTGAACTTTTGCACAGGCCACAGTCACAGCCGCGTCCCCGTGCCGAAGCTGCATTATATAAGGCGCCTCAGACCCCTCCTGAAGTGTTTGCAGCCAAGAGACCAATCCGAAGCCAGGTTGTCATTATTCAGGTTTTGCAATAGCATCTGCCGATTTCCGTAGCTCCAACTCAATCCGACTTAATGTGGGTCGGCTATAACGGCATCTCTCACATGAAGGCTTTGACCCTCCTTGAATATGAAATGGAGGCGTGATCGGTGCCCTGACATGAAAACAGAAGGATCCCTGCAGCATGATTTGCTTCAAACGCTGTAGGATTTAGGTTAGTGCAGTTTGGGGATGGCTTCCTCCCTTGGGTTCCCTTGCGGCAGCTTATGGGGTCGAGGGCATGAGGTGTGCGGTCGGTATAGGGCCAGAGAAGTAGGCCTTTAGTGTTATGTGGTCGGTATAGGGCCAGAGAAGTAGGCCTTTAGTGTTATGTAGCAAGGTTCAGGGTTTAAAGCAATACCCAGGTCTCCCTCTCTGCAATTGGTGGACGAGGCCACGTGCGCGCTAAGGGCTCCGGTTTCAATGGCGAGTTTAGAAGTAGAACTGAGGCAAGTGAGGTAGAACGGGCCAGGGCATGAGGCCTACATAGAGTCATGGAGTGTAGGGTGTGTGGTTGAGGATTTAGGCCCGGCATAAGGTGTTACCGGGTTTCGTGCTGGCTCGCAAAAGATATGCAAGGCTTATCCGTTCCACTCGAGTTTATGCAAGCTGCCTCCAATGTTGGATAAAACTTCTGGGAAAGTATGCACAGAAGCGACTGCAACCATAAGAATTGACTTCTGAAATTCAAACCCGTTCTACTTCAATCTCCGTCTATGCAGGCCTCGTGCCCTGACGTTCGAGCCAGGTGCTTGCAAGCGTGCCCACAGGGCGCTGGGCTCCTTGGCACCACTTGTGGGTTTAGGGTTGTGGGTCAACTAAGGGTTCGCAAGACTTGGGCGGGGGATCACCGCTTGGGGGGTCACCGAACCGGAAAGCTTTAGATCTTGCGAGGCTCAGATGCTTGGGGCGAGAGCAACCGTAGTCTACCTGCATGGTGCTTACTTCAGAGTTTGGGCATGGATCCCCAAAAATCCTTACCTACGTGTATTTCCGTGAGCCGTATCTATATTCACTCCCCAATGCTAATCAACAGAAAGGTCGTTGTCTAACATCGGTAGGGTTGTGATAACAATGCATCGGGAGAGTGGCTGAGAAACACAGCAAGGTGTGTTCGCATCATAGCTGTCGCGGCCACTTGAACGACTGGAAGGGAGTTTTTCACCATGTCACTGTAATTGGTCCTGCAAGTCCTAAGCCCTTGTAAGCCCTCCTAACCCCTAAACCTCTAGACCTTAAACCTTTCACTTGTCGAACCAGACCCTGCACCACCAAACCCTTAGAACTTACATTGTTTTTGTTTTGCCGGGGTCTGTCCTGGAATCTGCCCACCATGAGCACAAACACACTTCCAATGCTAGCGAATCCTTCCCACGCACCACGAAGCATGGACATGGACATTGGAATCCACATGCCCCGATTTGTTAAAGCCTAACTGGCAAGATTTTGTCTCACTTGACATCCTGCGGCTCAACTCCTGCGACCTTCTAGCAGAAAATGGCCCAGGACCCCATCGGATTCAGGTCCGATGGTGTTGCCTGGTACGAGCTGGGACGTTTCGGGCTGACCCACGGCAGGATCTCGATGATGGCAACCATGGGCCTCACAACAGCAACAGAGACACTGCATGCGATTTCAACATTGAGAAAATGTTGTAATTTGCAAGCAGTACGGCGCTTCTCGAACGTATCGAACACTTCACGCACTGTCGTTTGGGTGAATGCTGGTTACAAAAGGGTAGCCTTCAAACAGTACATGTTTTTCGATCGGAGTTCTTGAGTTGAAATTCGCTTGTCCACCTACAGCGGCACTGTGGCCGAGGATACATGTCCGTGGAGTTTAGCGGTGGCGTCGATGACTACAAGAGCGGAACTCCGGGCGACTGCGCCTCGGACGAGCTTGCAAACGGCCGCCTGGCCATGATGGAGATCACTTGCATGTTCGGCAGCGCCTGGGCGAACTACACGGCCTCGCCTCCGCGGCCGTTCGAGAGCGAGCTCGGTGTGCAGGCAATGTGTAGCCAGATGTTACAGTTTTCTAGACATGTGATAGAGGTCATTTGGCGATTATTGTGCAGCTCGAAGTTGGGCTGTGTGATTGTGTTACTGCTGTACATGCTTGAAAATGGACTTGGCATGCAGGCGCCAGTGGGTGTCTGGGATCCTGCTGGATTCACAAGTGGCAACGCTGACAACTTCGCCGGCCGACGTCAGACGGAATTGAAGCACGGGCGAGCTGCTGTGCTGGCAACCGTGAGGGAAAACCAGCTCCCTGACTGCAAGCATTGATCAAGTACTGAATGCTCATGGGATTCTACATGGCAACTGTGTGTGTTTAAACGTAAGCTTTGGTCGGCTAGCATAGCCCTGAACACTGATAGGGGAAGTAGTTGGTTGCCTCGCCTCACGATTCCTACTGCATTTTGTCGGTGAAGTTCTTGCATCTGCTCAGGTAAATTGTGCTTTTAACTCACGCTTCGCAAGCCTCTGTCTAAGGCAGCGTCCGGTCCTCCTCGGCAGAGAGGCAACATGTCTAAGCTGGCCATGAGATTGAAACAAGTACATATTTTCGCCAAAAACGATAGGGGGCAACCGTTAACCGATCACCCCTAAACTTTGCATAGCCGAGAGGGGCCAGCTGTTGTTTCAGTGTGTCTGACGTGGGAGTGTCAATGCGGCATATAAATGATAGGGTTCACGGTTAACTCGGATTCAGGTGACAATGGGCAGTGGCAGATTAAATCAGAGCTATTATTCTGGGGTGCAGGGGTTAGGGTTCTCCGCAATGTCTGCGATCGCAGGAGTTTGGGCAAGCTTAGGTCCTGGTCCTGATGGATTCCGGGTTTAGAGCTTTAAGGTTGAAATCGAGGGTTCAGATGGAGGGGCGTTGACTCTGCAGTCACTTCGACTACAGCAGGACCGCAAC